TTTCCCATGTTTTTGTGTCTAAGTGACTAATGGGGACAGCAATTTCTGAAATTGAGCGAGAGCACTGCAAAATGGGCTGCAATGTGTAATCCTTCAGGGGAATTGCGCACAGTCAAAGTAAGTCCACAGGGTTCCAACGTGTCCTGGAAAACCATGAAAATCTGGATATTTAGAGACTTGTTTACCAGTCCTGGAAACAATTGGAAATTGATTAAAATGACCAAATATCCTGAAAATAATCTATGTTGTCCTGGAAAATGTATTTTAGCCTCAGATAGACTACATAAACCTAAGTTAGAGGAAACTGTATTCAACGACGACTGCAGAAAATTCATCTGTGGTGAGAACGGCACGAAAGCAATTTAACGCGTAGTGTCCCATAAATTCTGACCACCTACCTGTAATGAAGCTACGTCACTTTATCTTCATCATTAAAAAAGAAGGAATAAAACTGGAGTCAAATGTGTAAATACTTATTTCTGAACGTCTGTCCTCTGTTGTCAAGGAAACTCCAGGAAAATGAGTTGAATAAGGAATTTCTTAAAAAGAGTGCGAACCCTGGTCCACCAAAAGTGTGTTTTTGCTACTGATGTTTTTGATTGTTGCATTTGTCAGACAGTATTATGGAAAGGACCCTACAGAGACAGACATTGTTGTTAAAGAGGAAGATTGGTACAACCAGAAACAGTTATTATATCGCTCTGTTCAAAGCTATCACACTTCTATCAACACTCATTTTACACCACAGAACCTGGGAGTTGGTCTAATGCTGCCTCGACGGGGTAGGCTGTCTGTCACTGTGTGATTTTGGTGTTTTAACATGTTAACAAACATCAATCAAGGCTTACCTCTTTCCGGTATACAGATTGACCTTGACAATGCATTTTCTCGAAGACCCCTTGCTCCTTACAGAAAATGATGCTACCATATGGTTCATGCGCACCTTGTATTCCTCCTCTTGCAGGTCATGGTAAGAACCACAAGGACGCAGCATCAGTGCGAGCCACACACCCAATCCCCGCTGCCTGTGGGATCTACTACTTTGAAGTCAAGATTGTCAGCAAAGGTCGAGATGGGTAAGCAGACACAACTCTGTTCAAGCTTTGTTGCACGTGTCCTAATGTACTACAGTCTCAGTTTCATGTTCAGGTCTCTGGATCACTGCACTGGCTGTTGTGTGAGAATATTATTAAAGGAGCCAATCTCATGAGAACAAAGTGTGCTCATCAAGCAAGGTTTTATCTGTTCACACATTGATTTTGAGGGCAGTTATTAGCTAAATGAGCAGACTTACAGTTCTGCCAAGAGTTGGTGTAATGCAACAGTGGCTACAAGTTAACTTGTACTGAAGTGCCTCTTCATTGCAACAATCATTGGAAAGATTGCTATGACAATTGGTGCCAAAATTCTGGGTTTGTAGAGGATGGATGATGTTCATTTGTACTTAACAGCATCATTTATCCAACAGACTTCTATCAAATGTTTGCATTCATCATGCTCATGGTGTGCATGTTATAAATGTTATACAACCGTTGTTAGCAAGCACGATTTCTACACACCTAGCCATTTTAGCATTAGTTTATCTAGAAATGTTAGCATATGCTGTGAAATTAGCACCACTACAAACACATTCATTTCATGTGTATTCTAATGTTTTCAGGCTAGTTAGGCCTGTCTGTAGTTCTATGGTTGTATTTTTCACAATAATGCGCTAAATAGCTGTGACAAATATCTTTGCTCATCTTTGTTTCTTGTGGTTGTTTTGGTAAGGTCAGACGGGATGTCTTACCACAGAAGTGGCTAGGGAGTTTATGAACTTGCTTTAGCAGCATTTACCTCACCCTGAGTCTGCATTAATAGCAGCAATCGTGATATAACTGTTCCAAGTTCATTGCCAGATACAACAGTCCCCCAAATATGCCACTCAACCTCCATTAGAGTCGTATTGTTGCCAATATGTGCATCAGCTGTCCTGCTCTCCAAATGTTTCAGTGCCATGACAGAGAGTTGCATCAACAGTGATAGACATTTAAATTTTTGTTCATCTGCTGTGTTTGGAAAAGTAAGGAGTAGGGAACCCAGAAATGGCAGCTTTAGCAACAAGCCTCATACAGTTGGAGTAGGAATTGAACAACAAAATTTTTTAAAATTGTACAGTGTGTGCCTAGCTTATGCCCTCTTCCTGAAATAATTGCTGAAAGTAACTGAATTAACTTAATACCGAAATTAAACTGAAGTGTAATCCCTGCACAAATGTACCCATATCAACTTTTCCCTGGAGTCTCAGGAAGGATCTGAATGACAGTTTTCTGCTGCATTACTGACAAATGTCACAAACTTATTGTGTAGAAAAGTTTAAGTGTGTAGGAGAAAATTGACAAGGACAGCCCTGTGCTTTATGGTGCCATACAGTATAAGTAAGCCACATTATTCCCCTTAGCTAAAGCATCTGCTGGGATTGCTATGGCTGTTGATCAGCACCAGTAACACTGCAATTACTTTGCCAGGTTCTTAGATTCCTGGCTTTCAAAACTCACCTTTCGACCTGTATTCTGCATTGGTAATGTAACTCTGCTCCATCCTTCCCAATAAAGTTGCATCTCAGGTTGCATAATTTACTGTTAACACTCTCCAGTTCCAGTCAAGCAGCTCTGTGCAAACAGAACAAAACTGGTGTGAAAGACATCTGCAATGTGGGAGTGTCTGTGTGTCACTACTGCCTTAGCTGTAAATGGGAGAGCCCTCTGAAGCAGCTTCTCTGCTGGAGCTGAAACACCAGACAGCAGTGGGACTGTATGGAGTGACTGTCTGGTTCACTGGACTAGAAGCAGGACTTGACTACATATTGAATTCTTATTTATGTTGCAGTCAAGTGACATCCAGCGCATCACAAACGCTGCTAGATGAACATTTCTTTCATTCTTGTAGTCCACATAGAAGCGGTATGTCAGGAAATACTGCATGAGTAATGTTATAACAATAAAAGCATGAGTAATGGCATAACAATAAAAGCGTGAAGTGATCATTCATGTTTTTATTTAATCACGCCTAGATTATTGCAACACCCTTTTTCGTCAGAAAGCCGTCTGTTGCCTCCAGCTTGTTCAGAAGTCAGCTGTTGCTAGGCTCTTAAAAGACGAGACCATGTAACTCTCCTCCCGCCTCCCTCCACTGGTTGCATGTAGGTTTTAGAATTTACTTTAAGATTTTGTTGCTGACCTTCAAAGCACTGCATGGTTTGGGCCCCAACTATATTTCTAATTTACTTGTCCACTTTACGTAACCAGTTGGGACCCTCCTGTCGGTTACTAAGTCACACTTCACAAAAACAAAAGGAACTCCCTATCTGAGGATCTCAGCCAACCCAAGTGTCGTCTTTTAAATGCTGTCTCAAAACTGAGGGAATAACACAGGAAGTGCTAAAGTCACACAATATAGGGGGCGCCATCACTGGCAAAAATGGATAGAATTTAAAATACCCCATTTGGGCAATTAAATACATTTTTGACATTTTTTAAGTACACAAGTCAAAACTAACACCAAAGATTATAAACATTTCTTAGCAAAGTGAATTTTAAATGGCATTTAACTTAAATCACTATAAAAAGGATTTGAATGGAAAATCATCATTTAAATCTTAATGGTTACACTGTCTGGTCGATCCAAAATATTCCTCTCTGGATGTAAAGTTTAGCCACCTCTTAGGGCCCAGCCCTGTAAAGCGTAATGAACCCCGGTGAATCATGTTAGACTGAAACCGTGATCATAATGATACAAAGCATAATCTAAGAGTTGTTGTTTTGGTCATTGTTTTCTCCCAACAGAACAGACTCTTTGTCTTGTTTTATAATGGCAGACTGAATAATGAAATATTCCCTAGATGAACAATTGCTGAAGAAATGATGTTGACTTCTTTGTGTTACTCTGTGTCACAGTTCTTGTGCCACTCTTAGTTCATTTGGGCGGCTGTAGCTCAGGAGGTAGAGCGGGTCGTCTACTAATCAGAAGGTTGTCAGTTCGATCCCCAGCGCCCCGGCATGTCCTTGAGCAAGATACTGAAACCCAAATTGCGTTTTGTGCATCTGTGTATGAATGTTAGTTTCTGTTTGTGAAGGGTTATCTATCACTGTATGAATGTAAATGTGAATGTGGCATGTAGTGTAAAAGCATTTTGAGTGGTTGGAGATAGTACAGTCCATTTACCATTTCAAATCATCTTCCAGTTGACTGATATGACACCATTGTCTTTTCCTCCTCTCGCATCCGAGATGTCATTGAGGAAAAAGCAGGAAACTTGTGAATAAGGCCATCCATTCTGGCTTGGACAAGAAATAATTTATTGCTTGGATTTGAGAGACGACATCTGCATGTGCCAAAGCGAGCTGAGACGATGCCAAACGCATTCCACTGACAATATTGATGACTTGTTCAATTGAGCAAAAGGGTTTTTGCTGGGCTTCCGTAAGCTTTGATTATATGAAAAGGATGCAGGCCAAACGCTTATCCTGGTGTGACGGTCTTACGATGTCACTGTTGACCCCTAAGCTCGGACTCTCGCTGTGCCTTTAGATGTTACGACTTTACCTCAGAGGCAGTTCATTCTGCCATAACTAGTCCGCACATCTGGGATATAAAAGCAGATCAAAGACGCTATGGTCAAAGTTACCTCTGCCTGACAGTCTTTCATATACGGTCCAAAGTTAACCTGAGAAAACACCTACATTTTGATACTGTAGATTCATTACAGATGTGTTTAAATGTGGGTGCATGCTATCTGCTGTGTATAATCTACTGCAGTTTGAATTTCTTTTCTTGTTGTGTGCAGGTACATGGGTATTGGCCTGTCTGCCCAGGGAGTCAACATGAACAGACTGCCTGGTGAGTAACATGTGAATGATATCAGCATAACATAACCAGTAGGGGGGGAAGGATAGATATTTGTTAGATAGATCGATGCTGAAATTCATTTAAGGACGTTACAGTGGGTGGATGTCAGAATGAATGGATGAAAGGATGGTAGAAAAACAGGACGGAGTCTGCGGTTGGAGCAATCAGCGAGATGGGGTGAAATAAGGATTCCCAAGGTTACTCAACCTGAACAGAGTGAATGGGGAGTACTTCATCACGCCAACTTCCAGCAATCCCCTTGGCTTGCTGGGGTGGAGCCAAAATTTCAAACACTTAGCAGTGGGATCGGACCATAGCTTTGGCAAGCTGAGAAAAAAACCACCCTGCAGTGCTCTCTTCTTTTGTTCAATTTTGGTTACACACGGGGCAGTCTGAACAGTACACAACCTTGGCCCTTAACTTTTCTAATTACTTATTGGCCCATGGCTCCAGCCCTACGACCCCACTGGCTCAGATTACAATCAAACATGGACAGTGCTGTGTGGTTGGTTTACATCACAGAATAGGGAGGTTTCCTATTCAACAATGTAAACACTTGCAAGGGGTTGATTATTAGCACTTAGTCATTGTTTCCACAGGCTGCAGATATTTTTGGTGCTGGAGTAGTGAGGAGAGATGGTGTGGATGCATGTGTGGAGATATAAATGTAGATGAAAGGAATGAATGAAATGGATTTTGTGGATAAGGGGAAGTCAGCCAACATTCATGAGATTTGGGGGTGAAAGCGGCAGAATTTGAGGATGTGTGGCGTTGCTATAGTAATCAGATGTGGTTTGTGGATTGACTATAAACAGTCTGACAGCTGCAGAAATAACATGTCAGGACATGTCACTGAGCAGTCATATGGATCGGTGACAGATGATGTTGACTCGGGCTTGCGGTCTGACCTCAGACTAATCTGCCTTAAGACAAACATTGCTTCTCACTTTGTAATGATAGATTGCTTAAACTGTATTTTACATGGAAACTATTTTTGGTCCTAAGCCACCAAATTAAATGAATGGAATGTGCACGTTTGTATACAGGACATTTTTGTGAATGTGTTGCTCACATATCTAAGTGTGTCACCACAGGCAATTTCACCATACAATCTTTGTCAAAACACGTTTGTCTGTTCTGGGCTACTGGGCTTCTGTAGAAACATGGCGGTTTAATATGGTGCACTTCATGGAAGAGGACCCGTGGCATCTGTAGATATGTAATATGTAGTCATATACACATTCTCATGTTCAGGTGATCATACAGTAATGAAAACATAGTTGTTAATATTATATTCAATATTCAACAGATTCTCAAATGTTACACACTGGACCTTTATGTAATTCCATATATGATTGCATATGACCAACCGTAAAACCCAGGGCCAATAACTCCACATTGTACCTTTTAAGCCCCAAAAACCCTTCTTCATCCTACACATCCCATAATGCAACTCATTAGGGTATTTCATTGGACCCTTCCTGTGTGGTAAACTCCCACATCTATTAAACTCCATAACCCAGTCTGTAACCTAGCCTTTCACATATAAATTTGTAGTCTCCATTTTCAAAACTTAAGTAACCCAGATGACATCACTGTGACATCATCAGGGTTGTTTTATTTATAACAATATACCACAACGGATGAGGTCAGTTTTGTTAGCTTTTTCAGAATCAGATCAAAACAAAACATAACCACCAAAAGTACTGATTGACAAGATAAGGCTAAAATAAACTGTGAAGAATTACAAACACAGAGCCGCTGTCCCTGTCCAGTAACTTTGTTTACATGTGTGAATAAAGTTGGATTCAGACTATGGTCGCTGTGTCCACTGCCAGAATTTAGAGAACAAACGTGCTACTATAAAGACTTAATAAGAAAACAAGACAGTCTGACAACAATGATCCAAGCCTTTGTCTGCTGACATATAAACATTTATTGTGTGTTGTGCACTGACTTTCTGTTATTTGCTGTCACAATGGATTTGAAAAAGAGTACAGAATGAACAGAAGAGACATATCTCTTCCACTTTTTTCTGTTGTGGCTTTACGTTTCTTCTTGTGCCCTCAACTTTCTGCCCACCATGTCCCTATAGACTCCACACACACACACACATACACGCATACAATGACATCCGTGAATGGTTCAGCGATCTGTAATGACATAGGAGGAAGCAAAGTAGCCATATAGCAGGCGAGAGCCTGAATAAAGCCCCTTGCCTCTCCTAACCAATCAGACCAGTCCTCTGCTCTGGCCAATCACGTTCGGGGGCTTCCAGCCCTCGCTGGGGCCATTTGACCTGCTTATTGACTAGTCAAGATCTGTCCGGTGGCCGAGGTTTGTGGAATGCTGTGGACACCAGACGGCCAGTTCAGCAGACTCTAGATACACACACACACACACGTGCACAAAGATCATTCATTCTCCTCTCTTCTTGATTCACATGTGTCAAATGTCACACAAAGGGTGGAATAGTGTGGAACAGCGTTGCATGTATGGATGTGTTTTCCCAACCTGCTCACACATTAGTTATGAAAATATTTTTGGTTGCTAGGTTTCCACTACAGATGGTCTGTAGCCCTGGTAGACGGATTACTGTTGATTGCCTTAACTCTGACTGACTCAGTGTGTTTGTGTGCCAGTGTGTGTTTGTCCCGAACTCTGTGGATTTATCTGTGTGTGTCCTGGACAGACTGATTGCATCTCCGAGTGTATTTGTTTGTGTTTGTCCCCACTCGCCTGTGCATCTGTGTGCACTTGTACACACTTTTATGTCCATCTGCACATGCACTGCATGCTGGTGAACTCATGCCTTTATTTGCGTTTATGTATGTGTGTGTGTCCTTTAATAGTACAGTGTTCTCCACTGCTGACCTCTGTGTCTGATCCTGCTGTGGAGCCCTGCCCATTTCATTAGCATGTTGGAGCAGTGAGCCTGGCTTTAGAGGCAATATCCCTGTCAGCAGATTAATCTAATACCTCCCCACACACACACACACACACACACACACACAGAGGAGTATATGCACATATGCACATAGAACGCATGGAGAGAGAACAGTATGCGCTCAAGTTAAGAGAAACACACCAATGCACATGACATAAGCACAATAACAAACACATTTGGGCTTGGGTTAATACTTTATTACATGCTCACAGATACACATGTACTCATTTAATATCTCGGCTCACCCACGACCTACTTTCACTAACCCCGCTTTGCTTTTTGGCAACGACAGACAAGCTGTGATTGAGGAGAGACACTGTCAGAGCGGCAGTGAGCTGAAGCTGAACGCCGTCGGGTTCAGGTCCCTTTTCAGCCCGGTCAAATCAGGAAGAGGAATTCCTGCAAAACTGGATTAGTGTAAAACTTGAAGCACAACAAGCTTGTCATCCAAATAACTGCGAGTGAATCTCTGATAGCAGATGTAGCCGTGTCCTCTCGCTGTGGAGGAATCCTGCCGAATCCTGCCTTGTTATCAGCTCTTTGTTGTGCTGAAATCACAACGATATGATCTTTGTAGATCCAATCTGTATGTTCTACTAGACATTAGTCAGCTGGTTGAGAATTACTGGACCGGAGTGACTGAGATCTATCTGATTTTGCATTGAAAGGAGGACAAAAAGTCATTATGCTCTTCTCTAAAATGCGATTCCTGAGGATGTATTTTAGCTTTGGGGAGCATACAGCAATCTATCTGGTGTCAGATCAATAATGGACCCATGTAACTATGTAGAGATTGCTTACAGCCTCTTTAAGAGTGGTATATAAATACATAAAGGTTATTTGAGGTGAGACTACATGTCGGCTATACTGATTGTGGAGTTGCTAGAATGTCTTGCTCTGTGGTACCTGCTGTACACAAAGCTTCTTTCTCTCTTCAAGTGGCTGTTTTGAGGTTTTATCAACTGAATAGAATGACGTGGTTAAGCACGCTGACACAAATTAGAACCGAGGACATAGTAGTGAGAGCCTCTTCATCTTTGAAGGCCTTGGGAACGGCAACCTTACTTTCAGATGAGGGTTATGCTGATTGTTTATGCAATGTGTAGTGAGCTTGATGGTTCCTATCCTAAAGAAACATATAATATATGGTAATGCTTTATTTTACAGGTCTGTAATTCCAGACCGTTTCTTAGGTTTCCTAAAAGAAACTGTGTTATATAATTATAGGTAAAATTGCTCCATTTAAAACAAAGTAAATATTAATGCGTTATTCATTTAGATTTAGAAACTTTATTCTCCATGTACTCTATGTGTTGAATCGTATGCTTATCTATAGACACACTGTACATTATTGCATATTTAGCTGACCCCCTGTGTCTTTCTGGGTCATTGGTTTCCAACCTGTGGGTTGATTGCAAGTGTGACAAGTGACATGACGTCAGCCATTGGTTTGTGGAATACCGTTTTGAAGCCTTGAGTTTGGATTTATGGCCATTGCCATGTTAGCAGGAAACAATGGCAGCTCGCCTGGTCACACGCGATACACTAAAATGTGTTTCTGAAACGATTGTAGGTGAGAAATAGGCAACGCAGTAACATAATCTTGATTCATATTTGATCAGCACTGCCTAGTTTGACAGTTTGATCTGAGTTTCGTACAGAGCGCTCGACAGACTCACTGAGAATGACTTTGTCATTTTACAACACAGGGTTGTATAATGAAATTAATGTTATAGTTCCCTTTATGCCACTCGTAAAAACAAAAAATATATAAACAAAATATATATGTGTGTGTGTGTGTTAAAACAACATAATAATACTGGGTACTTTAATCTCTTCGGGCCTGTAAAAACCTTTCAAAGGAAACAATATATGAAGGAGAACTTTCTCTCATGTCCACACTGAGGCCGTAACCTTTGACTAGGGGTCACAAGCAATAGGCCCTTTTCAGGAAGGAAGGCTTTTATCCGTGTCACGCTAGGAAAAGCTCAGGTGTAAATAATAATAACCATTTAAGCTGCTTCAGTGTCAGGGTCCTGGTATTGAGAACGTGGTCTCTTTGTGCACAATAGCAGGACCATCAGCACTGTAGATGGAGCCATTGTTATTAGTAACAGCTGTGCTTTTCCTACTATGACAAGTCAAAATGTCTGCTGGGAAAGAGGACTATCGAACACTATCTGAGTAGTGCTTTCCAGAAAACTTCCTGTGCGATTATAAGGAAATTAGGAACTTGTAAAATAAAACACTCTCAGTGTACTGAATAATGAGGATCTTACTCTCCAGCTGCAGTAAGTTTAATGAGCAAATCATGACATCCTCTTCCCTCTCCTCGTGTCTCCTGGTTCAGCCTCCTGTGCTGCTGTTCCTGTTGGCAGTGACTCACCAGTTTCTTTACATAGACGAGATCCCCCTGCTGGTCATCCACTGCATTGCACCGCATGCCGAAAAGTCAGAAAGTGTGTGTGTGTGTGTGTGTGTGTGTGTGTGTGTGAATTTTCATGAGACGCCCTGCAGGCAGTGGTAGTCAGATGGGAAAATCTGAGCAGCAGAAGTCAATGAGTAACTGTCTCCCCTCCTTCAGCAGCAACTACTGACCTCGAGCGAGTCACTTCACCTCAAATGCTCCTGTGGATTCACCCACTGGTGCTGCAAAACAACATGCACCCTGATCAACCTTTTCCACTGTTGCTTGGCTAACAACACACTTTTCATGACGAGTATAAAATAACAAAACTAATCCTAATCCATGTCCTATTTTAGGATGGGACAAGCACTCATACGGTTACCATGGAGACGACGGCCACTCCTTCTGCTCCTCCGGGACCGGCCAACCATACGGCCCAACATTCACCACAGGGGACGTGATTGGCTGCTGTGTTAACCTCATCAACAACACTTGCTTTTACACCAAAAATGGCATCAGTTTAGGTTGGTGAACATGGTGTTTTACTGTAAGAATGGATAGTTTGTTATTTATTGCTTCATTTATAGCTTGAAATCATCATGTATACTGTAACTTGAACTGTTTGTCCTTTTGTCCATTAGGTGTAGCCTTCACAGACCTCCCTGTAAGTATCAGTATATGTGCATCACATCATTGCAGCGTCATTTTCAAGATATACTGACTAAACTCTAACAGTGCTTTCTTTTATTGTTAAACGCTATTATTGCTGTGCTTTAATTGACATACCTCTTTCAGTTACCTCCATCACTGCCTTAGTTTTAATTCTGTAGCCGCTTAGCAGCCATGAAGATATTTGAATTTGAGGAAGATTTACATATTACCCTAAACAAACTACACTTTTAACACTTTTAACACATGTTTCTACACATTAAGCTAATATTATGATACCAAACCCTTATGATTCTTATCATACCGTTCCTGTAACTAGTGACAGACTGTGAAATAATATATAATCGGACATCGACCCTGCAGGTCCATATCTAATTTTAGCCTATGTTGGTAGTTGGGTTGGGTGGCCGCAGTATCTGGAACGTTCCCTTGCAAAGAACAGCCACTTTAACGGTTTTACCAGCCAGATTTTAAGGTTTTAAGAATAGAACAGAAACCTCAAAATCACAGTTGGCTGCTGGCCACGGTGGCTGCAAGAGCAGAAGGAGTTACCAACCACTGTCGAACCCAACCAGCATTCAACCGGGTGTTGGTGTTAATTTCATACCCTGTTGGTGGTTTTTGCATATACTAAAAGACCAAAGTCCGACTGAACCCTATAATCTAATGACAGCTTAGTAAAAAGCCAGTTTACTGTTTGTGCAGTTATCCACCTTGTTTACCCAGTGACAGTTTTCCATTACAGGATCTTAACAAGCCATAACCTGAGGCTTTTCATAACCAAAAGTTTTAAGAACTTGTGAACAAGTCTTACTGTATATGCATCTGGGTCTGGTTGCAATGTTTAGTGCCCCCGTTCCATAAGCTATAGGTAGACAAACAGCAACATGCAGCTCATTACTGTTTTAAGATTATGCACCTTTGATGCAATTATTGGTCTAATACACAACTATGAATGTTTATGTCATTCAGTATTTAAAAAATGCTCAAAACAATGCAGAAACTGACCGTTTTAACCGTGAATATCTTTTATCTTTAATGTTTTCCAGCCCAACTTGTACCCCACTGTTGGGCTTCAAACTCCAGGTGAGATCGTAGACGCCAACTTCGGCCAGCAGCCGTTTGTCTTCGACATCGAGGACTACATGAGTGAATGGCGGGCCAAAATCCATGGCATGATTGCTCGCTTCCCCATAGGAGAGAGGCTGGGGGAGTGGCAGGCCGTCCTGCAGAAGTAGGATCCAGTCCCCACACCTTCACAAACACACATACACACATACTGTCAGTACGAGAACACGCTAGTTTGAGGGATGCTACAGCAATATAGCTTCATCTTAAAGCAAAGAATATGGCAGCATGCAGCAGCTGAACACAAATTAAAAAGATCTCTGAACATGATATGTTTTCCCTTCAGCAAAAGTACAATTTCCACCTTAAAATTCTTAAAAAATTCACCTACTCCTTCTACCTCATTAAAACCTCCAGAATCTCTGAATATGCAAAAAACAATTTTCCTGCTGGACACAAGTTCATTCTTAGTGGATGTGCACTGGTGGCTTCAGGTTTCTACTGTACAAGTTGTACAGTATACTATATATATATATAATGCCGGTGAGTTAGACAGCTTTTACAAGTCATGCCATGTGAGGATATTAACGACTATCACAATAATGGAAATTCAACACGATACATTTATTTTTAATAATATTGTATATCGTCCAATCCCTATCCAAATACACTGTCCTGCTGCTGTAAATCTGTAAATACTAACTAACTAAATGTGGATTTGTCCACTACTAAAAATAGTCCCCAACAAATACACAATTTACTCCTGTTTGAGTGATGTTCACTAAAAACTACAGTGAGCTGCTTTGTTAGGAAATTGTTGAGCTTTTTTAAAATAATGAACTATATATTTGTAACCTGTTTATAAAGATTTATTTCTTCAGTGGAAACCAGTTGGCTGGTGGCTGAGAGCCACAGGCAGTACTGGGAAGTCAGAAAGTATTAGACACGGACTAACACACTTTTCTTTTGTGTTGTCGTGTTTTGTCTCCAGTATGGTGTCCAGCTACCTGGTGCATCATGGGTACTGTGCCACCGCAACAGCCTTCGCCAGAGCTACAGAGACCATGATACAAGAGGACCAGACATCTATAAAGAACAGACAGAGTGAGTGAACAGAGCAACCACACACATATTCATTCAGTCACATTTTCATTTAACTTGTTGCAAATATCTCGTAGGGTATGAAGTCATTTAACAACAGAATGTTCCAGGACTGGTGGTGTTTCTGAGCCTGTTTTTACAGCATAATCCACTATTCACTTTGACATTGGATTCATGAACTCCCTGTACTGATGCTAAAGATTTTTACCAGCAAACTCATCTTATTGTCAAATAATACCTTTCTGCTATCCAAATCAGATATTAAATATGGACTAAACTGTAAGTGTACCACCATTCTGAAAGAAAAGATGTTCAGAATAAGATACTGTGGGTATTGTTTGTCCCTAATGACCTCTATGAATATATATCCTCTATCAAATGTTTGCCATGAAACCATGGTTCCTCTTGATCAATATACTGTAAATAGCACCCTGTTTCTTTTGTCTAATAGGAATACAGAAGCTGGTGCTGGCAGGACGAGTGGGGGAAGCCATAGAAGCTACTCAACAGCTTTACCCCGGCCTGTTAGAACACAACCCCAACCTACTATTCATGTTGAAGTAAGTCAGCGTATTTTCGATCAAGATCAAATCCAGGAGATGCTGTAACAGTAATTTTTAAAAACCTTCACTAATGCTGCTGTGGATGTGGAGGCGGCGAGAAATGCGCGGTACCTCTTCCTTTAAAAGCGTCGTTTTCGTTGCTTTTTAGGTGTCGTCAGTTCGTGGAGATGGTGAACGGTACAGACAGTGAGGTTTGCTGCTTGACCATCCGCTCGCCCAAGTCCCAGGACAGTTACCCTGGCTCACCCAGCCTCAGCCCCCGCCACGGAGCCAGCAACACACACCTGCACACCGGAGGTACACAGGCTCACACAGATGGAAATGAAAAATTATTTTCCCAGCCACTGTAAGAAATGAGATATGCATTTGTGTTTTCCTTCCACCCCCCACCCCCATCTAGGAGCAGACAGCCCGACCTGCAGTAACGGGGTGACTCCTACCAACAAGTCAAAGAGCCACAGCGGCGCTGGCAGTAGCAGCGTCAAATACCCCTCCTCCGCTTCCTCCTCCACCTCCTCCTCCCCTTCCTCCGTCAACTACTCCGAGTCCAACTCCTCCGACTCCACTAAGAGCCAGCCACACAGCGCCAACAGCACCCAGGAAACCAGGTAGGAAACCTGTGTGGTTCATTTAGAGCAGATAAACTGGTGTTACCTCCACAGCTGATGTACAACAGGTGTGGTGTAGGGCTGTGGTAATGCTATCAGATGTAGCAGCTAGCTAACAAGCAAACAACTTTTAAAAATTCTAACAGACACATATTTACAGCTCTTACCAGGTAGTCCAACTTCCTCTCATACTTTTCTCAGAGCAGTCTAGAGTAAAATCATAGAGCTCAGTGTGCACACAGACGGCTACAAATGGGCACCTCTGTGGCTCGCAGCGGACGGGTTGAGGAAAGAGGGTGAAGATAAATCCACTTTTTAATCCCAAAAGTTTAAAAAAATAAACTCCAAGCTCTCCTCTTGCTGGAAAACGGCTCCAGATAAGAGCAGAATCCTGTGTGACTGCAGGTGTTTATTCCTGCCAGCTCTCTTCTGCAGAGCTCCTCGGGCTCGAGCAGTGAACAGCAGCTCTGTCTCACCGGCCTTCCCTACACAACACTGCAAAAGCTTGGCAATATGAGTGATTCCTTTGCACAAAGTTGAATATTTTAAACTCGCATGAATACACGAACAGGGGAAATTTTGCATCAAATCTGTGGCCTGGTGCAAAGTCACAGATGTAGCTACTGCACTAGTAACAGCTTAACAATGTGTAAATTACTAAATTAGGGACAATTCAGGTTTTCAGCTAATCCTCAGTTTAATCGTACTGGCTAAACTACGTATTTAGAAGTGACAAAAGATAAATGCTGCTACACAAACGTTTCGTTCAGCCCTGACTTCCTGTAATAATAGTGCTGGTTAAACTGGGGACTGAAACCTGTCTGGGTGTCTCTAATGCTTGGTGTTTCTCGCTTCAATCGACTTCTGTTCTAAAGGGGTGTGTAGTGATGTCGTCTGGTCTCCAGCAGTGTAAATAATAAATAAAGTGTTATCATACTCTATTCATAACATGGGCTTAATCACCTCTGTTCAGTGTTATCTTCAGTCGTGTTCAGACTGCCAGTTGTTGCTCTGTCTGTCTGTCAGGTTAAAATTAGCTGGGCCAGTCACTTGGAGCATAACATGTTTACATCATGTTTTGTGAACCTTCATCCTTTGCTCCCATGGGCCTGTTGTGTGTGCGTATATGTGTGTGTGTAGTGACAGTGAAATGGAGATCGAAACAGAGCACTATACCAACGGGGTTGTTGAGGGCTCCTCAGCACGGATCATGAATGGCACATACAAGCACGAAGAGATCCTTCAGCCAGACGACAACAGCATTGGCAACGGGGTCACAGGTACACACACGCACACACACAGGCACACATATAGATCTAAACTCTACATGCTACATCTGTTTAATTTCACCTAGTCTTTGATTCACCTTTATGTGCTTTGTTGCAAATAAGATTTTTTCCATTCAACTTCCAACGCGATGTTTCAGTGTGTGCATTTTAACTGTGTGTCTTGTTGCCAACAGATGAGGGTTGTAGTAATAGCAGACAGCTTTGCGGAGGGAACCAGGCGGCTACAGAGAGGATGATCCAGTTTGGACGGGAGCTGCAGGCGCTCAATGAACAGCTGTGCCGCGAGTACGGCAAGAACGCCACACATAAGAAGATGTTACAGGTACGCTTACACCACTGCATGTGCACACAATCTTGATTCCAGCAAACAGCTGTGCTACAACAGATTAAAGTGATGCCAAAACTGGGCTGAATAGATTTCTTCCGTTGGCACCAGTTGGGGGCATTCTGTACCCACTGCAGGAATTTAAGTGATGTTTCATTTAGGATGAGCTGTAATAAAGCAGATAGAGTCTCAACTGTCTTACAACCAGTGGGTCAGTTCTGTGGTGCGCGTGAGAAGGCTCAAATGACCGTGTACTGCAAGCTGTGATTCATAAGCAGCCACTGTGAGAACAATAGAGGCTCTGGAAAAACACTAGAGACTGCACAGGAAAGATAACGGTTCGGCCTAGGGGCTTGTCTGCAGTTGTTTGTTCAACACAGGCCAGTTCCTAATATAATAGGAATTTTGTATTGCATGATAGCAAAACTTCCATCACAACAAACTAGGCCCTTAGAAATGGACACTTTTCCAATAAGGACATTTATTTTGACATCGTCTGCTCTTTTACTGTCATTTTTCAACCACCAGGGGGCAGAAAACAAGTGACACAACAGTATCATGCTCTTGGTAAACCTGAATAAAGTAAGAAGTAACGTTACGTCTCTGTCTGAGTGAGTGTACCATTATGTTCAACAGTCACTCAGTAACACCAGTTCTCTGCCGTGTGCTGGGCTGAAAGCAAAGGGTCTAGGTTTGTTTGTTGGAAGCTGACTGTGCTTTTATATGCCGATGACACGTGGGATTCAAACATACTGTCTATGCACAGCTAGAGAACCAAAAACACGAGCTGAAAGAGGCCAAAATGTGCACAGAACTGTTAATAACTGTATGTTGATAATGAGTGACGATGTACAAAATTGTCACGCATTGCGATAAAAATTATTTTTTTTTGTTATTATTGGGAAAATGGATAATCATGACATGAAATTTTCATATTTTCATATGGCCCCATGCCTACTCATTGCTATGTTGCTTATTTATACCACTTGGGAATGTCGAGTCATTAATCAATCATTGCTTCACATTGCCCTCAGAAATGTATGGATACATGTAGGGAAGGTTAAATAACACATTATAAGCCCAACCTAATGTATGCACTGCTCTGTACTCATATGGGCCCCTCTGTTCTGTCTGTCTGTCTGTCTGTCTGTCGGTGTAGGATGCATTTAGCCTGCTAGCATACTCCGACCCGTGGAACTGCCCCGTTGGCCAGCAGTTAGACCCTACGCAGAGAGAATCACTCTGCTCCGCACTCAACAGCGCCATACTGGGTAAAGAGCCGTCACAGACACGCTGTGTGTTCAAACTACAACTGCAGTTTTTTTTTCACTGTAACAACATGACGATGTAAAGAAAAAAAACGGTTAACATTGTCCCTGTCTTAGATATGAAGTCTACCACATTTACCTTCATTTTACATAGAATATCTGATCAGTTCAAAGTGAATTTTTTTTTACGATGTTTTTTGGCCATTTTTAAAATAACTGCCCTTGAACCACCTTTCAAATCATCTGCTGTCCAAGACAATTTGTATAATTACATTTTTCATAGATTCCTGTCAATTAGTAGAAGCAGAGCATAATGTACACACTGAATGAACTGATGAACTGAATTATGGGACAATGAAATTAAAAATGAAATCTAATTTGACAGGTTATCTGTTGTATCTCTGTTGGTACATGTATTGTCTGTACAAGAAGGAAGGCAGCAAACAGCCTCTTTCAAAGTTAGAACATCAAAGAAAGATTAGGGTACATTTACAGCTGAGGAAGACAAATATAATGGACACTGTGTCTTTTGATATTAAGGTGCTTTCATGCCCGGACTCACACAATTTGATACAATGTGACTCATGTGCTGCACCCCTGCTTGATTTTGTTTTTCTCCTCCAGAGTCCCAAAATCTGCCTAAGCAGCCTCCATTGATGTTAGCGCTCGGCCAGGCCACAGAGTGTGTTCAGCTCATGGCCCGAGTCCGGTCTGGTTCCTGCTCCTTCGCCAGAGTAGACAACTTTTTGCACTAGCCCAGGTCCAGGTGAGTACGTTTATGTAGTATAATGATAGCCTGACCCACATTAGACTGTAGCCGACCATAGCAGCAATACTGATGCTTTGCACAACGTTGGTGGTTGGTGAGTTAAAAGAAAGTTGGGTTTTATTTCAGGCTAGATCTTTCTCAGAATTGTGGTAGCTCTGACTTTGGGTCATGCTATCTTTGCACCTCCGTTGTGGAGATTCTAAAGGATCGACGTATTTCATGGCAAGCGACACAAGCCTCCGTAAACTTTCCAGATGAACCTAAATTTTACATAAAAAATATCAAACATTTGCCTCAGAGTTACTGAAAGTAAACTAAGCTATTATTATTATCTTACTTATTGTTGCATTTATTGCAGGATTATACTTAAAAAGAGCTAGTCAGATATTACAATGGTGTCCTGAAAGTCTTTGATAGTTTTATAGGGGTGGTTATTGCTGTTTCTTACCATATGGAAGGATCGCCCTGCCTGGTGCTCCGATACTGAAAAAAAACACAACAAAAATGCCCTCTTAGATGCTAATCCTAACCCCGACTAAGTTGTTTCACAGCCAAAACTTGGGGACAAGTGTTTCAAATAATTTCTGTAAAATGTACGTTTACCGGTATTTCGACAACTCTGGGAGGCTTGTGGTGTTTTCCCTGTCTACAAGTGTAGAGTGCAAAGTTAGCACAAATTTCTGCTTAAAATAAATGATTTTATTACGAGCTAAAGCAAACCACATTGTGCATATAATACAGAACAAATAAGAAATTCATTAGTTACAGTTAAACTACAAAAAATGTATTCTAAATAGTATGTATTCTGTATAGTCAAAAAATTTACTTCGGTCTGAGTCCGACCTATGACAGCAGTTTTGGGCCTGAACCCGACGGGGTGGGTCGGGGCCAATCGGTTTTGGGCAGAGATTCAAAGCTCTACAACCCATAGTCACAAGGACCACAATTCTGAGAATAAGATCAGAATCAGAATTTCCCTTCAGCATTTAAAATGATGATACTTTTGGATCAGAAAAATACTACCAAGCCAAATAAAAAGACCAAAACAGTATGTTATATTTCTTCTGTACATGAATAGGAAAGCAAGTTTTAATCATGCTACATTCATTCATTACCTCGCTTAGATAATTACCCGTCTCTCCACAGGTTAATGTTAGTAGCACTGAGAGAAGGCATGTCCAGCAGGTAGTTGTCATGGCGACGGAGGAAAGAGCATGCGTGTGATTGGTGTGTTTGGCTGTCCGTCAGACCGAGCCAGCGGCACAGACAGAGGAGCGGAGGAGAACGAGAGAGAAGAAAGCTTCCTTTTAATTTAGTATTATCAAATAAAGAAATGTGTGACACTATTTAAAGATAATTAATTATTATTCTGTTTATCTAGCCATTTTTATAGTTCTTTTTTTGTCAGTTTGTTGTGCTGCTCATCCTGGACAAAACAAATTGTAACTCCCCTTTTTATTTTTTCTTCTGTTTTAATGGGTGGATTTTGATTCCCTGCCATCAGTATTTTACTCACATTGTTGTTGTTCACCATATCACCGACCACAATACCCACATCTGGTTATCAGAGTGACCCCCACATCTGTAGGTCAACTTAACTTAACCTGAGGTATATTAACATCTTTATTGAGATACAGAAGACAGCCTCTGAGCCCTTTATTCCTCCTAAGTATCAACTTAGAAGTGCATTCATGTCTTTGTATGCGTTCCGGATGGCGAGTTCTCAGCATTAACACCACTGATTGTGTGGAGCAGATCATTAACTCTGGTAAAGGCTGATACCATGCAGTAGGAAATGCTAGAAAATGGACTGATGTAAGACAAAAGTGGGTCTACGGATTATTCCAGAAAGTTGGAAAACAAACTGTGATGTAATTTTTCAAGAATAAAATACTTTGAGCTAGAACAGGACACACACCAAAAAAACTATACTTGAAGGGTCCCTGTAGTGGCAAACACTGCCAGTAACAAGGGATTCAGTTGGAATATATTGGAGGTGTTGGAGCCTTAATTTTACTGTAACGACCTCTGCATCAACCAATCAGTCATGTTGTTGTAGGTGGCAGAGCTCAGCCCTAGCTGCAGCTACAACACCCTGCTCTCAGGACCCAACCTAACACAATTATCATGGTCACCTTGATGCCAGCAAAGACAAAAATCTGTATCAAAGGCAGACTAACAAGCACCGTGTGTGTATGGCTAAAAGTCAAGTTCCCCCTGGGGATTTCATTACTGCAGTCTTTTTTTGTACTTCTTCCACAGCCTGACCTGCTCTGTGCATGTGGTGTCGCAATTAGAATTTCAAATTAAAAGGTGAAATAATTTGCCAAACGGGAAGGTTTTTAATTTTCAGTTGCACTTTGTGATAATTAAATCACAGTTTTTCTTTCATTTTGGACATTTGATTCCAAACCACTTAAACGTTGTGAAAACCAGTTGTGTGTGTTGGAAAAAGGCTTTTTTTCCTTCCACTCAGACACCTCCGTTTCTCTAACACCCATAAGCTTGACTTGACTGTGTTCCACCTGTTATTGGACAGTAGGACATGGTCAAGTCAAGTTTATTTATAAAACCCAAAATCACAGGTTTCCCAGTGAGTACAAACCCTTGATGCAAAGGAAAGGTCTTTTTATTGTTCAGGTTCGCTGCTGGCCACCATGAAATTTACAAAGTAACCACATTGCTCCTGTTCAGGGGGTCTTTTTCTGGAGTCAGATCAGTAGTGACAAAATGACCAATTACCACTTCCAGCCCCGAACGGCATTAAAAACAGCTGGCAGCCACTTTGTATGCAGCCCCAGAGTGTTCAATATTAAATGAATGAATAAGACATTATGAAATAAATAAGCATATGAATGAAAATAATTTAACCAGTACATTGTAATTTCATTTCACATGCTGGTCTATTCCAAATGCCCTTTTTCAAAAGTCTGTTTTTATTTTATTATGGCCGTTTTCCTGGTGACGCTTTTCATCACAGTGCTGTTGTCACCGAGGTTCAATCACAGGGCCCAAAAACTGCTGCAAACATTTAGCCAGCTTGCTTCTCATAGCTAGTAGCTAACCGACTAGCTAGTAAGTAACTTTGAATCAACCAGCTAGTTGCTGCTGCTCATAAACCTTAACCAACCTTTCTTTATATTTAGCTTGACAAGGCTACATATGCTACCTACCTAGCCAGCTAACTAGCTAGGCTGGCTTGTGGGCTTGGATTACTCAGCATTTAAGGGAAGAACCAGTGTTGGCGGCAGCAGCTAACGTTAGTTGATTAATTCAGAGTGACTTTGGCATGGTTGTGATTCTGAGAAAGTTCCTCAGAAAAAGACACACAACTCTGTGAAGAGCTAAAGGACACAGGACACTCTTTGCTGTAGCCAAATAGAGCTAGCTCGCTAACTGGCAGTATTTATGTTCCCAGGGTCCTTTGTACCCAGTTCTAGGGATTATGGTCAGGGGGTTAGGGAACTAAGGAGCTTGGGAACATAGATATGCTCCCACTGGCAGTTCATGGGGGCTGAGTTGAGTTTTGATTCCTTTACATATTTCATCTGTACGACAGATTATTCATTTCATAATGTCTTGTTTATTTATTATTGTAACTAAGATAGCATTATTCACATTGGACCTTTCTTTCAGAAGCACAAATGTAATATTGCCATTTTATCCCCCAACACCATTATCATTCAGAAGTGTTGTTGTTTTTTGAGGAAGTGGGGGAGTCAAGATCATCATCATCATCATCATTAGCTTTCTGTCTCTGTATCTAAACAGGTGATTGTTCATGGCAAAACTATAAATCCTACTCCACTGTATGTTTTTTCCATATGCATCAATAATTGGATTGATTTTGATCATCACCACCCCTTTAGCTTTATCTGAAACATTCTTTTGTTTTCTACCAAATAGCAGTGACTGAATATTGACTGAATAGTGGCACGCTGTCACTCCTGCTGCTTTGTTGTGACCTGGCAAATGGCTTGTGGATCCACCCTGAAGTGTATATTTCCATTTATAAGAGCATTTTAAGTCTATGGTAGAGACATATGGAATAATATAATTCTGGAGATGTGTATATGCAGTGTGGGGTTTACTACAGGGTATGTGGTCTAACTTTTTACCAAGCTGGTTTTTATAAAGACCTTCTGCTATAATAGGAACTATTCTTAAAACCACACATGCAGTACACACTCACGGCAACTGCTTCTACAGCTGTAAAGGACTTCTGTTACACACACACACACACACACACACACACACACACACACACACACCTGTATGTGAAAGAACAACCTCTGTTGCATACCTGTAGGGAACGAGTCTCCCAGCTGTCCTTTGTGTTTTGAGCCTGGGCTGCGTCTCAGTGCTGTTACCACGCACCCTTCCTCTAATCCCTGCATAGACATAGCCACTGATGTGATCAGTGATTGTTATAAGGAAAGGACGGATTGTTTTGGAAATGGGCCCGAGGCCTCTGAAGCCACATGAACTTCTTCCGGAGAGTCCGGAGAAATGGATTTAGGCATCGCAAACAAGCTGTGCACAATTGACTTCTATCATAATTTTAATTTCATATTTTGATTTTTGAGTTTTAGCAAAAAATAAAATAAAATAAAAAAAACAATTGTGAATTGAGTTACCCTCTACTTAGCATGACTTTTAAAGCCTTTAAAATGATATTAAAAAAAAAGGAAAAATGATAATTGAAAAAAAAAAACCTATGTACTGGAAACATGTTAAAAAAGAAATATTGTATTCTGTTTAATTTTGACAGAATTATTTTTATTAAAATACATCCATAAGCGTATGAGTGATCTCCTGTTTTTATTTGCTGTGTTTCTATTTCATTCTTCCCCTTACAGTACAAACATGTTCAAGGAAGGTGGATTGCAGACTGTAAACTGTGAAGTGGGTGAATAAATGACATTTCTCCGATATCCACCTAATGCATTTATTAGGCAATATGCTGCCTCAAATTAATTATTTTATACATCTCCAATACATCAGTTTGGCAGGACACACAAGCAACAAAGCAGAAAAACACAAGGTACACCTGGTAAGTTATCTCAACTCAAACTTTTTGAGAAAACCGATTGACGTAAAGCATTTAAGTTTATTAACTCAAACAATTTAAACATATAAAATATTTTATTTTAGTACGAGTAACTCAAGTATTTGTTGTTGAGCTAACTTAAATTAAGTAATTTTAACCATTTCATTTAGTTACATGAACCTAAAACCAGTATAGTATACTCATATGCAGCATTTCTCCAAAATATGTTAACAGAATTTATCTGAATAAAGTAAGACTAACTTAAATGCATTTTTTTAATAGAAATGTTACCACTTTTACCACTGCCACATTTACTCAGTTTTCTTTAACTAAAACAAATGATTACATTACTTGTCAAAACATCTGATGCACAATAAAAACAATTTACAATTAATTGATTATCAATATGGTAACCAATTAATTTTGGGGCTTACATTGTCAGTGTAAAGAAAATGAGTCAATGGAACAAACTGTAATTATATAACCAATTATTACTTCAGCAATTCATTTTTGATTTGGGTTTAATTCATGGGAATGAATGACTAACAATTTTTTGGAGGATTAAGTTGTGTTAGCCTACTTCTTTTATTAAGATATGCTGTTAGGCTTTACAGTGTACAGTAGTATATTATAATATGGGATATGAAATATAATGTAAACTGAAATCTGGTAATAACAATAATAATAATATCACAGCAATATATACAATGTAAAATATACACAATACCTGCCAAAGACCAGCTGGATTCTGAAGCAGTTGGATACTGTGTTGAGCATGTGGCTTATTCAGGTCAGATTGGGCAGTTATTTTATTTTGTGGTGAACCAAATCTTCACCTAGGCTATGACAAATACGGCATAGGACACAATAGATGGCTAGAAACGAGTGAATTTATTATATTAACTTAAACAACTGAGGTTATAAGTACAAATGTGAAGTGTGTCAGTCAGTAACATCCCATCCAGTAATGTAAATTGTGGATGTGTTGAGCGAATTAATGAGGTGTAAATGTTGTAAAGTGAAAACAAAGAGCAGAAACCCAAACAAAAGAGAATGTGCCTTGCTGCTGCTGGCGGGGATCCATGCCAGAATAAGAGAGAGAGCCAGAGCAGAGCTGAGACAGGGTTTTATCCTTTCCAAATCTGTACTCTGCTGATGGTACCTTCAAAGGACACATAGGAAAAACAAATAAACTGGTCAACCACCATCAGCACATCAACACTAGACAGGGGCCGTCCCAACACACCCATAAGATCAGAAAAACAGACGATCATTTGGGTTGTTTGCGAAGGAGCTGACAAATGACCTTACTCCTGTTGTTCAGTGTATGAGGCTTGCATATACAAGTAATGCGTAATAGATAAGCTGACTCCCTCCTATCTTCCTACCCTAACCGTCTCCCCTCAGGTCCATGAGAAGCCTCCCTTCTCCGAGCTTCTGGGAACTCACAATGCACCCTGACAACATCCCCAACTCCTTCTATGAAAAGATAGACTAAAGTAAAGTTTCACAGCTTTCTGCACAGGCTTTTCAAAACTGTGAATGCCAGACAACAGTTGAAGGAGATCACAGCGTCCCGTCAAAGATTTGTATATTAAATATAGAGCCTGGTTTGAGTTGTATCAATTGAGAATGGAAAAGGATAAAGAAAAGAAGGGACCAGTAGAAAATGAAGGAATAAAGCCAGTCTCTCTGCCCCCTCTTCTGTCCTATTTTATAGTGACTGGTTCAGTGGCTTAAATGGTTTTATTTATTGTGCTACGTGTTGTATCAGATGCTGGTGATCTTCAAAAACCCTAAAGACACTCTGGTCTCCTACTATCATTTCTCCCAACAACAACCCCGTCCTCCCAGGAGAGTCCTGGAAGCCTTCTACTCAAATTCCATTAGTGGGGAAGGTGAGCCACGACATAGCAGACAGTAAGCATTTAATAAAACTAAAATAAGCCATGTTCTATTGGATTATTAAGTGACCCACCTTTTTGTTGATGAGGCCATTTACAAAAGTCCAAAGTCTGTGTGCCATTTTCCTTGGTGGAAAGTTTAACTTGATGCCATGTTTATTTTAAAAAAGGAATGCGTGTGTCCGAATCCAAAATCAGAGTGATGTCTTGTGAAACTGAACTGGAAAGTTTTCCGTTAAGTTCAAGCCAGTGTCTGAATTGGACCAAAAAAGGTGCCAGTTACTCTAATTCAGCACAACTAACCCATGACGTGTATGTTGTTCACGACAGAGACATAGCTTAGTGGCCGTACATATGGTTTTTATGAATAACCAAGGTCCAAAAACTGAACTTGGCCAATTACTTCACAAACTTTTAAAAATGCTGAGGTTCGGACTAGTGGTGGGTACGGCCTTGCTCATTCAGAAGGTGGCGGATGAAAAGGGAAACTCATGTACAAAAATGAGAAAGTGCCGGTACTCAGTTACTGTTTAAGTATTTCAGCGCCATTTCCAAAGGCCACTGAGTTCAACCCAATTCCAGCATATGCTGAAATAATAAAATAAGTAACTGAGCACAAAAACAATAGCAATGCGATGGTAGTGGTTGAAAAAATGTCATCCTGAACCAGCCTAACCAGACTAGACCTAGTTTTTAAGATCTGTGACAAAGTTAGGTGAGTTTTTCAACCTAATCTCAGGTCAGACTTAACCCCCTGCCGTACCATCACCCCCACAAAATACCCACCCTTCTGTTTTACCATGTGTACATTCACAGTTTGACCTTCCATAATCCTGAGCTCTGCTGTGTTTATGGGCTAGTAAACCAGTTTGTACAGCCGACCTCAGCACGCGTCACCGTGAGTGCTAAAAGACCCTCAAAAAATTGTAGACTGTCGCTCTACTCCTGATGTAGTACATGAGACAATAATCTGTGAAAAAATCCAGTTCTTCTGGCTCCTCCCTACTGCTCCCTAATGGCAATTTGCCAAGAATCCACTGTGCCGTGAACAAAAACAACAAATCAGGCAGAAGAAAGATTGATGATTGTTGAGTCTTGTTCCCAAGGTACATCAACAGGTCCAACCCTGTGTCTGTCTCACAGCATTGTACCCCACATGATTATTGAAAGTCCTAACACATGACGTTTCTGCTACCATCGACCCGGGAAAGTATTTTAAAGGGATCTACCCTCACTGGAAAGCCTTTAGTAATACTTCCAAATTTATTGTTTGAATGTAACAATCTTAAGTCTACACAGTAGGCCAGCCACCACATAATGTAGTGGAGTAGAAAGTACAAATACATAACAACTGAAAAAGAAGTGGACCTAAAGCCTTAAATGGACAGTACTCCTGTCGTGCC